GACCGCGACGCGCGGGGACCGAGGCACCGTGGCGCGCGGGGGGTCGGGTGGCGGCCGATTCAGCCGCCTCGGTGGCCCGGTTGTCCAAGCTCTGGGGTGAAAAAAAACCCCCAAACCCTAACTGACCAAAGCGGGGAGTTTGGATGGCGAAAAGGAGAGAGGAAGAGACAACTTTGGGCACCTGGGCTGGGGCTGGAGCTGGCGCCCGTTCCCGGGCCGCCCGCGCGGAGTGGAATCGGGCTCCAGGAGGCGGGTGGTCCGGGAGGCGGAGGCCGCCGCGGAGCAGAGGAGCTGGGGCTCCCCCTGGGCTCTGACACCCCAAGCCCGGTTTCCAGTGTGGCCCCAACCGGGCGCCGCGCGAGCCGGGACCAGGCAGGGGCGAGAAAACGGCGCGGGGGCCGAAACCCGGCGGCGCCCGGGGCACCCTCCGGCCCTTGCCCGGGGCGCGCGGGTCCAGGCCGGGATGCCACCCTCGGCCTGGCACAAACTTTTGCGCCCAGAGGAGGCCTTGCGGTGCAAGCGCGAGCGACGGTGGGGCCCCGGCTCTCCCCGCGAACCGGGTCGCGGCGCAGCGTTGGCCTCACCTACCCGAGCTGGCCGTCTGGCTGGTGTCCAGCGGCCCCGACGCTCTGCCCAGCGGCTGCAAGTGGACGCTCTGAGGGTCGGACAGCACTTCCAGGAAGGTGGGCTGCGCGTAGAAGCTGGGGAGCCCCCCGGGCCCCAGCAGCCCCATGCTGCCCACTCCTGCGGGGCTGAGCACGGAGCGCGCCGCCAGCAAGTGCCCGGAGGCCAGGCCGTCGAGGGCAGCCCGCGGGTGGGAGCTGGGGGGCTCCTTGTTCAAGCCCAGGATCTCCTGAATGCCGAACCCGGTGCACCTGGCCGGGGCGCTCCCCGAGGTACCCTTGGCCACCGTCTCGCATTTGGGCTTGCTCAGCGCTTCCCCGGCTTTTCCCGTCATCTCCCGGCTCTTCGGAGGGGCCGAGGCCGCAGGTCTTTAGCTCCCCCCACCCCCCCGCCGGGCTCCCCGCTTGGCGAAGTTGGTCCCAGGTGCCCCCTCCGGTGTCTAATGCTCTGGAGCCCCAAGGAGATTCCCCTTTTATCCAACCAGGCGGCAGCCCAAGTGGGGTCAGAGCTGAGCAGCCAATCACGGGGGCCAGGAGCGATTAGGAATTCCAAAAAGCTGGCAGCTCCCGCCGCGGGCAGCACCCGGGCCGGGGCGCCGGGGGCAGGACGCCCCGGGGCAGGGATCCCAGGGTCTGCGCTCAGACAGCAAGTTTCCCGGCTGTTCCAGGAGGTAGGGTGGCTTGGATTCTGGCCAGAGCCTGGCGGGAACATGTCCCTAGGGTGGGGTGGGAAGATGCGCTGAGGGCAGACGTTAGCCCTCCACCCTCCCTCAACTCTTTTGCAGGTTGGCAGGGCCAAAGAAAGCCCAAATATGGGACCCCGGTGTGGAAGGAAGAACAAGGGAGGGACAAGCGCCCTGTGTGAGAAAAGAAGGGGCCAGGGAGTGAAGAAAGCTCAAGGCTAATCTCAGGTACTCTAGTTCAGACGGGCTCCTCAATAAATGCTGGCCCAGTGAGTAACTGAATGCTAACGGGGTCAGGAACAAGGGTCCCTGGTAGGAAAGAAGGAGCAGTGGTGACTTCTTTTGGAGAACCATGGATGTCTGAACATCTTCCTAGAGTAAGCATGAAGTGTGCCCAACTTCCATGGGAGGATTTCACTTATTCTTTTATCCATTCATTCAACTAACATGTACTGAGCACCTTATCAGGTCTAGGAACTAGGTGCTCTGCAGTAAGTCAGATAGACAAGGCAAGGGGTCTGCTATATCTTAGAGTTCACTGAGCAACCAGAATAAAAGCATCGAATTGTTGATGTGGATGGAGAAGGAGGGGGAGGGTGTGAGAGGCAATTAAAAGGTGAGCTTCTGTCTCCAGTTGATGGAAATCTCTTGACTAGCTCCTGTGTTGGAAGCTGCAGAATTGCAGCCAACTGGGCCAGCTGAGAGGCAGGGAGGCAACAACTGCTTTAGGCAGGACGGGCCCTCACCTGGAAAGAAGAGAGAAGCCTGAATTCCAAAGGTGGGCGCTGGAGCTACTGGTTTCCTGCTTGAGGCTCTGCGGAGCATGGTCCCCTTGGGCCCAAGCATCAAGTGAAGGTGATTCCACACACACACACACACACCCCATCGGCCCCTGAGTCCCTGCACTGTACCACCTCAGCTAACTCAGTTAACTTTTCTGTGACCTTGGGGCTGGAGAATGTCTTACCTACCTTGGTACTCCCATCTCCACTGTGCCAAACATATAGCAGGGTTTTTTTGTTTGTGTGTGTGTGTGTTTAATTTTAGAGGATGTTTATGAAAGCTAGGGACAGTGAAATAAGGAAGGGCTGGGGAAATGAGCCTGGGCTGGTCTGCTTTGGCTCACTAAGAAGTCAGAGAAAAGGGGGCCTTGGGGACTGGTTCAGGGGGTTTGCCCAGATGAACTGCCACTGCCATGCTGCCCAGGCTGTAAGCCTCGTGGGGTCCCTTAGAGTTTAGGAGATGCACGCCTGTGGGGAAAGAAGGGGGTTGGAGAGGTGCGGGCCTGCTCCTGGGAGGCAGAGTGGGCGCTGGACCTCATTTTGAGGACTTTTAAAGGCTGGGTGTTTAGGGGAGGACTTAGGGGGAAGGATCTCAATAGAATATTCATCAGCTTTATGCTGATTTACCAAAATGAGGTTTATTCCCTCAACTTCATCTGTCCTTGGGTGTGGTTGGCAAATGGCACTAATTGGATTTCTGCTGTCTCCTGAGTAGGGTGATTTAAGTTATTTACCCTCTGGCTGGGGAGGAGAAGTGCAAACCATTTACTCTTAAGTGTCCTTGGTTTAGGGAAGATGGGATTTACTAGGTGGCTTCGAACTGCTGGGTAACTATCCGCCTCAGTTTCCCTGTTCCACTGGTCCTGGCTTACTGGCCTGTCTCATTCCCCCCATCCCTGAAATCTTTTAGGGCTGATGAGGGAGGACGGTGTCTTTAATAACTGTTTCCTGCTGGTAATGGCCATAGTCCCTGCCTACGTCAGGGTATGGAAGTCTCTCTTTCTGCCTGGTCTAAGGGAGACAAGGATTTGAGACTGGAATAGAGAGGCCATTGGCTGATTCTTCCAAAGTGGGGCTGGGCTGAAATTCCCGCAGTGTCACCATTTTGCCGTGGAGTCTCACTTCAGGAGGCAGTCATGTAGACAGACCTGGAGAGACCGCCATGAGCCATGTGACCAAGCGAGGTACCAGGCATTTCTCCAAGGGGCTCTTGACTTCGTGCAGGAAAAATTCCACAACAGGAGTCCAGGTGAATTTTAGAGGACATTTATTAAAGTTGGGGACAGTGAAACAAGGAAGGGCTGGGAAAACGAGCCTAGGCTGGTCTGCTTTGGCTCACTAAGAAGTCGGAGAAAAGGGGGCCTTGGGGACAGGTTCAGGGGGTTTGCCTGGGATGAACTGCCACTGCCCATTGCTTTTCAGAGAGAAACACCATGTGAGAGAGACACATCAATTGGTCGCTTCCAACTGAGCCTGAGACCTTTCAATCTGAGGGCCGATGCTCTAACTTCAGAGCCAAACTGGCTAGGGCGGGCCCTTTAGAGTTTAGGAGATGCGTGCCTGTGGGGAAAAAGTGGGGTGGGGAGGCGGGGGGGGGTGATCCTGGGAAGGAGAATGTACCCATACAGCAGGTTTGTGGGGTTTTTTAAAGATATATTTATTGATTTCAGAGAGAGAGGAAGGGAGGGGGGGAGAGAGAGAGAGAGAGAGAGAAACATCAATGATGAGAGTCATTGATCGGCTGGCTCCTGCATGCAAGCCCCCCACTGGGGATCAAGCATGCAACCCAGGCATGTGTCCTGACAGAGAATCGAACCACAATCTCCTGGATCATAGGTTGATGCTCAACCACTGAACAACAGCAGCTGGGCTGGCAGATTTTTAATAAAGACACCCTATGAGGAGACATAAAGACAGGGTCAGTTGCTTTAGGCAGAGATTGGAAAAACCAGGCTGGGGAACAGATTCCATTCAGGATTTCTTGATCAGTCAGCTACAAATCCCAATAGAGTGAAACCCTCTAACTATCCCTGACCCCTGCCAAGGAGTCTAATGCTCTATGTGGTTACTATGGGGCCAAACTGAGAGGTAAGAGGAGAGCCTACAGGACGTGGACATTGAGGCCTTGCTAACAAGGCAATTGTGAGTTGGGCCTCTACTCATTCCCACCTGGTCCACACATGAGCCAGAATTAGGCAGGGGCATCTCTCAGTGCAGGAGGTACCTGGGAGAAGTATACTGTTCACTCCAGGGGCTGCCTACTTCTCCAATAATAATGCCATGTCTACTGTGCACTGATGAGGCCCCAGCCCCTTTGCATGGCATAATTGCTGGTCCTCACAAGAACCCTGTTAGCACCTTGGCTCCACATCTGAAAGATAGCTATTCTTATTTGCCAGGTGCAGACTTGGGGATATGCAATCTCAAGGCATCTTTCATCTTGTGGCCTATGGAGTTGGGTTCCATGCGGCACCACTCACATAGACATCAACACGAATGGTGCTCCCTGGAGTTGTGCAAAGCAGTGGCTTTGGTTCCAGATAAGAATTTTTATATTTCTATCTCCATTTTACAGATGTGGACACTTGGGTTCTCATCGAGGTTCGGTAACTTGTCCCAAGCTACATAGCTAGTAAAGCAGCAGAGGCCAGACTCAACCTCAGACGAGCCTGATGTCAAAAGCTGTTCTCCTTTTGTCCATCCCTCTCTCGGCCGCCTCTCCATGCCAGCCTATCCTGGAAGGATGAATGGAGATGTTATGTTAATGGCATCTGTCATGCCCCTGACTTATCACAGGACATCCACGATGAGCCAGATGCCAGCCGACGGGCAAGGACGTGAGTGATGGAAAACAAGTGTGTGAGTGATGGAAGCTCGGCTCTTGCCAGGAGATGAAGATAAAAAATCTCTTGACCAAACCCCATGTCTGAAGCTGCCAGTTTCCTCTCCCAGGAAGACAGTCACCATCCTGCCCTAGGAAGTGGGGGATGGCGTCAACCCCAGGCCCTCTGAGACTCTCTTGCCAGGGCTACAGGTAGAAGGAGGGCCCAGCATCAGTCCACAGCCAGCCCCACCCTCAGAACTGGACTCCTGGCCTGGGGGCTATCTCTGAGTTTTGGGGTGTCACTGCTGCTCCTCCACAGCTGCCTGACAGTGCAGTCCTAGACTCAAGACATTTGTGGACTCTGGGAGGATCCCTGTAGGAAAGGGCTGGCCCCAGAGCTTGGGCTGGGGTGGGGGGGAAGTGAAGTGTACTCTTTCAGAGGCATTTAGCTTGGTCACACTGGATCCAAATCCTGGGTCTGCCACCTAACAGCTCTGTGGCTTTGAGCCAATCATTCAACTGCTCTTTTAGCTTCTATTGCTTTGCCTATAAATCAGCCTGACACCAGGCTTGTGAGCATCACCTGACCCCCTGATTTAGTGTAAGGGTCAAGGGCATGGACTCTAGAGTCAGACTGGCTGGGTTCAGACTCCTGTACTATCACTTGCTTGGTGACTTTGGGAAAATTACCCAACCTCTCTCTGTCTTCTGTGCCTCAGTTTCCTCATCCATAAAATAGGGATAGTGGTAGTAACTATCCCTTAAAATTGTCATGACGATTAGAAGTATACAGGGCTGAATGTGGTAATAGGCTATAACATGAGTGTGTGAAAAAAGGGTCCTGTGAGCATTGGAAATTATTACCATTGTGCAGGATACCCAGGACTACTGATATGGTGGGAAACAAGACAGACCTAGTCCTGGCCTTCGTGGGGTGTGGGCCCATGATTGAAGGAGGTGATGTTTGTAAAGCACTTAGCATGGTGTCTGGCCTTGGGGACTCAACACGTCATAGCTCTTACTACTATTATGAATGGGTGTCAGAC